CTAAGACAGCAGAAACATCCTATGCTGCTTCTAGAGCAAGCTGCCCCATTCAAAGTGACCCAAAACAAAAACCCCAAGCCCAAGCAAAGCCAGCCCGTGTGACAGGAGCTGTGTGCAGACAGCTGACGCAGGGGCTGGGAATGCAGAGGTGCAGAGCTCCCGGGATGTGCGTGGCCTCTCTCCTTAGCTCCTTATTTATCCTCCCTGTGGGAGGCACAGCTGTGTTTACAGGAGGTGGGAGCCGAGCCTGGGCCAGGCTGAGCTCCGTGCTGGGACCTGCTGGGGGCTGCTGTGCCACAGCCATGGGCAGCAGTGACCCGCAGGCTTCTCCTGGGCTGGAGCTGCTGCAGGGCAGCTTCAGAGGCAGGGGCTGAGAGAATGGGTTTGCTTTGGCCCTGACTGGGCTGCAGTGCCAGGCTCGGTGTGGTGAGGGTGAGGATGAGGATGGCGGCGCGGGCGAGGCCCCACCTCAGGAGATGCCTCAGCGACCACCCCGGGGGCTCCAGCAGCTGGGCCTGGGACGGCTTCTGGAGAACAGCCAGGGAAAAACGCCTCGCAGGTCAGTCCGAGGGCAGCTGTAACCCCACACTGCTGGGATTCAGGCACTGGGCTACGGCCTTGATCAAGGAAGGAAAATGCATTCACTTTTTTGGCACTCCTTTAATGTTGCTGTATTTTCTGCCGCACCACAGAGCTGCCCTTGCCCAGGCGGCTTTTTCACTGGTGGGACCATGTGGGTATTTTGAACTGATGATTTCTACTCAGAGCTGGAAATACTCAGATTTATATGGAATTACATTTTATACTTTCTGTTTATCTGGAGTTTTGCAGACACTTTAAAACATTACAGCGTCAGTCAGCCATGCAGTGCCAACAACCGCAGTGCCCAAAAGTGACCCGAGTCACTTTTAAACCTTCATTTTTTTCTGCTTAAAGAAAGTTGTGAACTTGAACCCGCATGGTTTTTCAGGAAGCCCTTCTAGGGTGTCAGGAATAATCTTTCTCTGTGTCCAGCCCCCTTTCCCCAAGCCTTGCACCCCGAGCTCTCCAGCTGTGCATTAGCATGTGCAGAGGTGTGCAGAGCAGAGCCTGGGGCTGCGTGGGATGGAGGTGGCTGGGGGTGGCTGGGGGTGGCAGGTCAGGGCTGTGCAGGGTCCCCACGGTGAGCACTGCACACAGCGCCTGAGCTGTTCCTGCTCTCAGCTTCATGGTGCCCAGCAGGGATCTGGCAGCATCCCTGCCAGGGCAGGAGTAATAACTGCTCCAGTCACTGAAAATGGCTTTCTAGATTCTTTTTCTTCCAAGCAGCTCGGTGGGCTGAGTACAGATCTTTCCTCCTGGGGCTTGTGTTCATCTGGTGGAGACAGGAGGTTTTGTAGCAGCATTTTGATTCTGGCCAGATGGGTGTCCCTCTCTGCATCCCTGAGAGAGAGTTCAAAATGAGTAAAGGAATTTCTCTTTTCCCTGAGCCCACTTCACTTGTTATAAGCAGACCTTTCAGAGGTGCCAAGGGGCTGGATTGTTATTGTAAACATCACTGTTCCCTGTCAAAGCAAGAGCCAAGTTACCCTTTGGGCTGAGGTTGTCTTTCAGTTCACAACTAGGATGGAGCAAAGAGGCTGTCAGATTAACTGGGGATTTCTGTGGGGGAACAGGATGTTGGGAATTGCTTTTGTGTACGAGATCTATGGTTTTTGTGCCTCCAAGGTCCTCAGACCACTTTGAAAATCCTAGATTTAATTTGAGTGTGCTGGTCATGCCTCTGGGCTTTTGTGCTGGGCTGAAGAACAGCGCAAACCCAGTCACTGCTGGCGTCTCTGGAGCCCATCCCACCAGACCAGCACTACAATCCTCTGGAAGCAGTGGGGGTTTCATCATGTGTTGGTCAGGAGGAGTGTCAGGCATGGCCATTACTGAGGAGCTGAGTCACACAAGTTCTGCCAAGGGGATGGTCTCTTTCTTCTGCAAAACAACAGCCAGAACTCAAATTGCAGCTCTTCACTCCAGATGGTGTGGAGAAAGCTCAGCACCATCAGGGAGCCTTTTGAGCTGGGCTGTGGAAATGCAGCGTGGACATATTTTTATAAGTAGAAGGGACAGAGCTGTGGGTGGTGTTTGCCACCCTGCACCAGGTGCAGGAGCTGTAATACAGCTGCTTCTTGGTCTGCCACAGATTCTGTGAGGTGACAGGACACCCAAATGCTGATGTGATTTGTGTGCACAAACTCCAGGTGACTTCCTGGAGGAGCTGGCAAAGGTTGGCTGCTTTTTGACAACAACTAATGCTGTTGCTCCTGGACTGCTGTCCTCAGCTCAAACATCACAGTTCAGGAAAGAAATTGCTACAGTGGATAATGCTTCCATTGGAGACTGCATAATAGATCCAGCTGGTGGATCCCTGTGATTCCCTCTGGCCATGTGGTGTCCAACAATGACAGAGAGGAGCAGCAGGAGCCTGTAGTGCTTCTGCACTGGGTTGCCATTTGGGTGGGTGCTGAAACTCTCAGAAGAAGGGGTTTAAAATTAACTAGTTTTTTATTAAAGGAAATTTATCAAATGCTAATTAAAGGGAAGGCAAAATGGTGATTTTTTTTCCTGGTGCTCCTTCTGGTTCTCTTTCCATCTCTGGAGACATCCTTTGCCCTGGCCAACCCCCTCCACGCTGCTGCCCAGATGGCTGCCCCTGCCTGCATGGCTTGTGCTCCCTCGCTGCAAGCTGCACACAGATCTCTGCTCTTTGTAAACAGGCTAAAAATACCGTGGTGCTGCTCCTCTGAGGGCCCAGCAGTTCAGAGAGGCTGGGAAGGAAGCCGGGGTCAGGCGGCCTCCGGGGAGCGGGCGTCACATGGAGGCACAGAGCCACGAGTGGGGCTGGCTGCAGAGAGAGACAGAGCATCAGCCACAGCACTGCTGTCCTGCTGTCCTGTCCTGCTGTCCTGTCCTGCTGTCCTGCTGTCCTGCTGTCCTGCTGTCCTGCTGTCCTGCTGTCCTGTCCTGCTGTCCTGCTGTCCTGCCCGGGTGAGCCAGCGGTGCCAGGTCTCCCCAGATTAGTGTTCATGGTGTGCGAGATGTGACTTGGAATGCTCCAGGGCTTTGTGCTCCTCTTTTGAAGAGGAATTTTTGTATTTTCTACTCCATTTCTGTGCTAGGTATTGTGATGCAGGGACCAGGGTCCTGCAGAGTGCTGGCTTCTCCAGGCACTGCCACCCCAGCCAGCTGGGCCCCTTTGCTGAGGGTGCCCTGTGAGCCTTGTGGCTCCATATCCTCTGGGAAAGGAAGTCAGAAAAACCTATTCCTTCAGACATGCCATTTCAGAAGGCATCAGAAGCTAATTTCTGTTCTCACCACACCCATGCAAGACGTTAAAGGATGTGATTACCCTAACCACACCCTGGTCAGAGTGACCAGGACCTGAGTCTGAATGTCCCTCTCCAATGACACAGAAGTCAATTCCAACCAGGAACCTTCTCAGTGGTAGCAAATTTCAATTTTAAACATATGTGTCATAGACATTAACACCAGGAATATTGTTATATTTTACTTCATTAGTGTTTAACCGTGTTAGCTGGTGTGAGTGGCACGGAGTGAATCAGCAATGATCACCAGTGCCTTGTCAGGCACCCTGTGTGTGCTGTGAGTGCTGAAAGCACAGACCAGGGCCAGCACTGGTCTGGTAGCAAGGACAGCTGTGTCTCTGCTGTCCTACCCTATGTGCTTCCTCCATCTCCATCTCTCCACTGCAGTGGAAGTGCAAGTGTCCCTGTGTGAGCTGTGACAGCAGGATTCAGGGCTGGGCTGTGGGAGCTCCTGGTGCTGGGCAGTTCAGTCGCAAAGAAGGAGCTCATGCAGAGCTGAATAAAAGCCTGTGATGGACAATAAACACCTTAAAGCCCAAGCTCAGCAGCAGCACCCTCTGCCTGCCCACAGCCAAGGGAGCTCCAGGCTCAGAGCACTCGGGTGAGCTGCCATGCAGGTGGGAGATGCCTTCCACGCACCCCGCCTGGTGTGTGGGGCCCGGCCACTGACATTTTCCCCTCTCTCAGACCCTAAATTATCAGGCTAGCCCAGAGATACGAGGCCTTGAGGGGAGGAACATCAGGAGACGGGCAGATTCAACAGAGGCTCTCACCCCGATGTAGTTGTCCAGCTCTTTATTCCACGAGATCCGAGGGGAAGAGCAGGGGCAAAGAGAGTGAACAGGAAGGGTCATCCATCACCTTTTCTAGGCTCTGGGCAGGAGGGCTCCTTGGCTCTCCACCAACCCCATTGGGGCAGAAGGAGGAGACCAGGCTGATCTGATCAGAGTCACAGGGGTCCTGGGGAATGGGCAAACATGACCTGAATGCAATGTAACAGGCCACCTCACCCAGGGGCTGCCAGGGACATTCAAACCGCTCTGCTCCAGACAGAATGAGCTCCGCGGAGGCTTTGTTTTAAAGAAAATAACCTGTGCTGTGCCAAAGAGTTTCAGCCTAAAGGACTCCCGGTGCGCTGGATTTACCAGGGTTTCCCATGGCCTCTGGCAGAGCTGGAGCAGTGTCAGGGTGGTTCTGCAGCGGAGCACCCACAGTGTGCTTTGCACTGAGCTCACTCCGCTGGGCCCAGCTCCAGCTCCTCGAGGATTTCTCACTGATGTCACCGCAGTGCCTCGAGCATCTCTGTGCGCTCCCTTCCCTCCATCCTGCCACAGATTGGAACTGTGTCACCCGTGCCTATCCTGCCAGCATTCCCCGGTGGGAGCCATGCCACCCGCACCCCTGGCACTGCCCAGCAGCATCCCTGGGCAGGCTCAGCTGCAGGTGCTGGTGAGAGATGGCAGCGGAGAGGCTGCTGCGGCATTCCGAGGGGAGAGAGAGGAAGCGGCTCCGTGTCAGAGCCCCGGCGGGATGCGCGGAGCGGCTGCGAGGAGCTGTGACCGAGCTGCTCTTTCCCAGGGAGGATTCTCCACCCCGTCCTGGGTGGGATCTCAGCTGTCCTGCTTAAAGCCGAGCAGATGGGGCTGGAGTTCAGCTGCCCCAGGCAGGATTTGCTCGCTTGCAGGGACACAGGAGTAACTTCTGCACAGGACAGTGACCCGCTGCAGTTGCCTCTCCCCATGGAAGGTAGGAGGAGGTCTGTTTTCTTTCCTGGGTTACTCTGTTTCTTCAAGGTTTTTAAACCAGCAATCAAACTACAATGCAATTTAGCCAGAAAACAAGGCACGAAGTTGGGAGGGAACAGCAAAGGTGTGGGTCTAGCTGTTCCCTCCTAGGATGTGCTGCTTCTGTTTGGGTTGTTTAACAGAAAACAGAAAGCTATTCCATTAGGTATTTTGCTTAGAATTTAAAAGAAAAAAATTCGTTTCTAGGAATTTTGAGATCTAGCACTTAGTCTCTGCAAGCCCCACACTGGGCATCCAGTGGCACAGCACAGCTGTCCCTGGCAGCGTGGCAGAGGGTCCCGTTTGTCCTCTCGAGGGGGGCAGCCACTGTCCCACTGCCACCCAACTGGCTCCAGCCCTGCTGCTCCCCAGGGAGCACCAGGACCCTCAGTGCTCCCACGGAGTCTCATCCCTGTGGTGTGAGCACGGCCAGGGCAGGGAGTGGCTTTCCCATAGGGACCAAGTGGGGTGGCAGAGCTGGGAAAACAGCAGCAGCAGGCACACTCTGTGGGGACAGCATGTCAGGCCTCCAGCATCAGAGGAGGTCACCCTGAGCAATGATGCATTTTTCCAGAAAAGCAATAGCAAAAGTGGGAGGAAAGCAGGTGAGAGGGTACCTTTGGCGGGTGCCTGAGCCTGCAGCAGTGTGTGGCTGTCACCCAGCACGAGCAGGGGCTGGAGAGGGACAGTGCTGCTGCTCCAGGCCTCCATGCTCAGCTGTTCCCCCACGTCCTTCCCGTGCCCCCCAGGGTGGTTTCTGTCTCAGCTGGCTCAACCCTCGGTGCCTCTCTTGCCCCATTCCTGCTGTGCCCAGGTCCCTCTGCCAGGGCTGGAGCTCCCCGACAGCAGGAACTGGTGCCCCACGCTGGGGCAGTCCTGGCATTTCTCTGGCCATCAACTGGGCCAGCCCCAGCTCCTGCCTTTGCCAAGGGCTTGCTTTGTAATGCCAAAAAAATCCTACAGCAACTCCGACAGCTCTGTCGGAGGGTATTAAGCGTCTGCGTGTCAGAACGTGGCCTTTACTTTATTGCTTCATGTAAAACACTTTGTATTCTCTGGGCAGGAGAGGCAAGGGTTGCGGTGAATGTTTTCAGAAAGGGAATTAGTGTCAGGTCCCTTCCCAGCGGCGCTCCCATGTCAGACAGACCCTGGGGAGGCTGCCCAGCCTCACCAGCAGCTCTGCTCTCACATGGATCTTGCAGGACAGTTTGCCAGGACCACAGCTGGGAATAGTACTGCATTTCTTGTCCTTTGCCTCTCTATAAAATAAATCAAGCTGAGTTTTCAACCCTCTGTTTGCTGATGCTCTCTGGCCAAGTTTCGAGTCCATTTATTTCTCATTGCTCTGCGTCACCCTGGCGATGTGCCGAGCACAAGAAGTGGGGAGAAACACAATTAGTTTGCTGCATTTCAGGCCAGGGCTGAGCATCCATCTGCTGGTTCACACAGGTCTCCCACGCAGTAGCAGAGGTGTACTTTTTAAGGTAGAAAATGACTTGTGTTTTGGAAATTAGGAAATTGTTGACATAAGCTGAGAGTCATGAGGAGGAATGGGTTGTGTTGGCAGCTATTCACCATAAGAGCGTTCTGCCCTGAGGTGCTGCTGCAGGGACACTGTGGGAAGTGACCAGAGGGGTGCTGGCTGGAGGTCAGGAAGGGCCCTGCCACAGGGAAGAGCTCTCCCTTAGCCACAATTACTGTGCCATGGGGCACTGGGCAGGCAGAAGCCGCCATCCTCTGTGGGCTCATTCCCTGGGACAGCTGCTGGCAGAGCAGCAGGCATGGGTGGAGCCCAGGCTGAGGTGGGCAGCAGGGCCAAGGTCCCACAGTCCCCAGGGCTGTGCAGGACTGAGGGAGCTGCTGGAGCTGCTGGGGTCAGCACTTCTGGCTGGCAGCAAGGTCCCCCCGTCCCAGCACCAGCCCTGTGATCAGAGCACTGTTAAGAAATGGGGAGGGGTTTCTGGGAATGTTTTTGTGTGGGTTGCTGTTCTTTTTGATATAAATTTGCTGTTTCAGCTTCTGAAGTTCACCGTTTCCAGGGTTCACACTTCCAGGGTTAACGTTATCTGACACCTGCCAAAAATCCGGCTCTCCAAAAAATCTGACACCTGCCAAAAACTGGTCCAGCAAGCCTTGTGCAGCAGGGGCTGAGCACACACACTGCCTGTGGTTCCCATCCCTCCTCCACCTCATCCTGCTTCCCTCAGTGCTCCTGGGAAAAGGCAGGACCTGGAGCTTTTGGAAGGAATGTTTGTGTGGGAAGGGAACTTGGCTTCTCTGGTGAATAAATCATATAGAATCCATTTTGTGCATTAAACAAAGCTTTATGAAAGGCAGATACAAAGGAGAGGCCCTGCTGGAGGCTCTGGAGGTTTTCCTGTGGTGCCTGACGTCCTCTGGCCCTGGAGCCTGGCCACCACTCGTACATCTCAGCCTGCTCAGAGACCTGAAGCACCTGAAGCAGGACTGGTGCTGCCCACCCTGGTTTCAGCTTCCCAGGGCTCGGACACTGCAGACTTTGCTGTTGTTTCCATCATCCTGCAGGAGCAGGGAGCTTGTGGGGGCCAGGTCTGTGGTGGGGGCTTGTGTGAAGAGGCTGGTGCTATCACACAGATGTTTCCCACTTTCCTGCCCAGTTCTGAGCTCTCACACAGGAATGAGGCTGTTCTTGAAATGTGACCTTTTTCCTCAGTTTTACTCCCCATATTTGGTATCTGTTTGTCCCTTCTTTCACAAAGCAGCCCAGTAATCAGATGACATCCCTGACTCATGCTGCCCAGACGTGCATGATGGGGCCTTTCTATTTGTTAGGAAAAGCCTATTGATTTAATTTCTGTATCATTATTCAGCTAATATGGAATATGTCACTGATGGTGGTGCACAAAATCGAACTGAGTCTGCAAAAAAAGGATGAAATATTAAATAAACCTTGCCAAAGGACTGGGAGGAGGTGGAGGTGAATGGACAGGAAGAGTACAGGGTGCCCTGTCTGCTGCTCCACCTCTCTGATCTGTGTGCCCCTGGCTTGTGGGAAATGTTGGGAATTGTGGGAAGTGCCCCCTGAGCTGGTCAAACACCAGCACTGGTCACTGCTGGGGGACACAGGTTGAAAGCCACGTCACATATGGCCCAAGCTGCACACCAGGTATGGTCCCTGTCACCTGCACACAGCCTGAGCAAAGAGCTGTCATACTCTCCCACCTCCTCACACATGCACGCAGCACTCCCTGTCACACGGAAATACAGGTTTAGGTGCACAGAGACACCTCAGGAGTGTGTGATGAAGCAAACCTGTCTGGGCTGGCTGTAGGGAGCTGTGGGAAGGGCTGTCAGACACAGCTTTCCCTGGGCTCTGGGTAACTTGCCACTAGATGTCACAGTGTGCTTGGGTTTGCAGGGACTGGGAGTGCCACTTGTGCTGGGGACCCCCAACCAACCCACCCTAGGCAGGGCAAAACTGCTCCCTAAAGTCCCTTTGCTGGACCAAAGCACACAAATAGCATCTTTTTGTCTGTTCTTGTCTTCTAGAGCAGTTTTGGAAACATTTCTGCCTTTCATGTGCCACTCAGTAAAGTCTGAGGGACCAACAGGTGACAGGAGAGGTTCACATGGTGCCAGCCCTCGGGGGTGGCCCTGGTGGGACCCCTGCCCTGGCAGGTATCAGTGGCCCTGCTCCCACTGCAGCAAATGTCAAACTCTGACTAACATCAGGTAATGCAGCTGGGGTTCCCTCTGTGTCCCAAAGCTCTTGCTCTAAGGGGGACAAGTTTTGTCACTCCACCAGCACAAGGCAAAGGAGGCCAGCACTTGTGCAGCTGCCTGGGGCTGACCTCTGCCTAAAGCATCCCAGTGGATATTTATAGGCACACAGGAAACCATGCTGGACCCTGCACTTCCTCTCCCATCCAAGCTGAATCTTTAACTGGCTCGGTAGCACAGGGAGCATTAATTGTGGGTGTTTTTCCACTGAGCATTGTGCTGAGCAGGGGTAGAATATGTACGTGGTCAGCTTTGGGCAGGCTGGTGATGGGACAGGCAGGTCATCTTCTGAACTTGGCACAGCTCTGTAAAAACTTGGTATACTATTAAAAGACTAGGAGTGTATAAAAGTGTGAAGCATTTGCTGAGTGACTACAGCAATGACAGCATTAAAGCCTCCTGTTTGAAGTGGTTTATGTACAGACCCAGACTGGTGAGGCCATCCCCCACTGCACCCAGGCAGCTCTTGGGTGAAGTGTAGCTGTTGAATTAATGATGGCATCACTCTGTGGCTTTCATCTGCCACCAAGATCAAGCACAGCTTTCCCAGTCTAAGACTAAACAAACAACACAGCCAGGGAAGTACAGTGGGATGCTTTCCCTGTGTTCTCTCTGATCCTGAGATCAGCTCTGCCCAGTCTGAGCAGGGATAATGTGCTCTGGATGCTGGTGCAGCCTGGAGAGCTGCTCCTTGTGAGCAGGGAGGCTGGGTGGGCACAGCTCAGTGAGGGAGGGGCTGTGCTCCCTGTGTGCAGAGGGGAGCCACTGTACCCCTGAGCCTGGAGCAATGTGGATAGCAGCTGGTGCCCTGGCTGTCAGCCCTGTGCTGCCCAGGCACCAGCAGTGTGTGCTCCCTGCCACAGACAAGATGGATGGGCTATTGCTGCAAGCCACTGGCTGCTGTTAATGCTCACCACATGAATCTTCCTGACCAATAACACAGGATTGCTTTCCTTTGTCTGGGATTGCCTTTCCCCCCTTCCTTGGACCAGCTCAGAATATCTACAAATCTTGCTTAGCTCGTTAGTGACTGTGCCTTAGTGTCAGGAGTCTCCTGAAATGCTCCAGGTGCTGCTCTTTCCTTAGAGAACAAGGGCTGAGCACACTGAGCACACTGTCATTCCCATGCCCTGCAGCAGCCAGCACAGCAGAAGGTGCTTGAGCAGAGCTGGGAGAAGAAGGGTTTGCTGTGCTGGGGGGCTG